TGAAGATTTTCTAGCAGTAAAACTTCTCCTGAAATACCTGACATTTCCAAATGAAAGTACCATAAGGACAATCAATGCTTAATATTCAGTTGTAAATTTATGGTAACAGATAAAGCAAATAAGAACCACAAAGCATTTTGTTCTAAACATGGAAAGGTTTAAGCATATTCAGTGATTTATTGTTCTTAATCAACAGCTTACTAGTCTTCAGTTTGAAGTACAGTGAGAATTACAATGGCCATAACTGATTTTGGTTTGTTTAAAAATCTAGGTAGTGAATCTTACTGAACAGCTCTGGCCTGATTAAATGTTTGGCAGAAGCTGACCACATATAAATGCCTGTCATCATATGCAAGGACATGCAATGACATGTGATCCTACACTTGTCCTTTTGGATGGAGGCAAAGGAATAGCACAGATGTGTGTGAAAGATAGCTGATGTGAAACAAAGCATACAGCAGACATCATCATCTGCAGAGATAAGTGCTTTAGCAAGCTGAATGCCTGGGGGTAGTAAAAGAGGACTGAGGGAAAACAACGTACCTTGAACATGCTCTTCATCATTCTAATAAGTTCTTTAGTTACACATACCACTCCTACTGCTAAGTAGGTGGCTATATCATGAGTCATTCTGCAGAACATTATCACAAAATCTGATTACTTACAAAATGGCTTCTGCTTAATCTCTTCTTATCTGTGCACGTACCCAACATTTTGTAATTTCTAAGCAAATTCAGAAGTATCCAAGGGAAAACAATATGATTTATCTTAATGGTAAAAAGGCTGCCACTAGTCAGAAGGAAGTACTATCAGAAATTCAGAATTTAGTATTTTTAAAATGATCTCATTAACAACTGAACCTATGCTAACCATATAAAAACAACAAGCTTTTTGGTTCCTTTCTCTTGTAGGAAATTAATACTCAATTGCTAGAGGTAAATATTCCAAAGAATGTCAGCAGTCTTACCATCCTATTTACTTTTCATTGTTCTGAGAATCAGTTTGGATTCTGCCACCCTTTTTTGTCTTATCCCCTTCTCTTCCCACCCTAAACCCTCCCCAGAATGGACATTACATAACTTATTAATCGCTTATTAATCACAAACTTATTAAGCATTTTTGTACACATTTTTAAATAATATATATATATATTTTAAAACTTCTTCACCAGTGCAGAAAAAAAAATCTGAAAACTTCATTTTCTATAGAGGCGACAAGATTTCGCACTTGCAATAACATGAGTTCATTGGTAGATGAACTAAAGCCACATGTATACTGTTTCTCTGGACTCTGCAAGAGACAGGCATCAACTCCTAGTGCAGCGGGTATGGAGCAGCTCATACCCACAGTGTTCAGGCCTAGCTAGCAGCAACAGATGTGCTACATTCTTCCTGCACATATATATGGATAAAAATCTTCTGCATCTCTTATGGCATTTTAAAGTTCGTTGATTCTACTACTATATTTTTTTGTTGTTAGCCTATTTCCTCAGTTTTATTTCTAATTTATTTATAATAATCTTTATTTTGTTACCTTTTACGTTCTCTCATACATTCATTCGCTCTCCTCTTTATCACAAACCTTGCTATATATAATGTTCTATGTTTGAATGCTTACGTTCCACTGTATGACCCTAGCCGTCTCTTTTAGCTTGTCTCTGCATTCACTCAGCGCTTGCCAACTGATATAAACTGGTTTTAGTCATGGCTTTCCAGTTCCTTTTTGCCCCCACCCTCCCAAAAAACCATACCGTTTCAATAAATACAATTAATGTCAGGTGGAAAAGGTATTGCCTGACTTTCCTTTTTTTTTTTTTTTTTTTTTTTTTTGAAAGATTTTGGATTAAGTAACTGAGAAAAGAAGATGAGAATCTCAAAGACATGAGCAGAAGTGGCTTTAACAATCACCAGTAAAACTGAGCACTGTGTTTCTGTTTTTTAATCTACTATTTAGCAGTGCATCAGTAATGTCGACCCCAATTTTCTTATTAAGCACTAATTTAAGCTTTGAAATTAAGCAAAGATCTATTCAGAACAATTCAGTAGCACTTTTCTACAAGAACAGACACATGAGGTGAAAAGAAGATACTATTTACATTCATCTGGGATGAAAAGGAGATAAACTTCAAAAAAGAAAACACATCACCTACAATATCTAATATTCTGTAATTATTTTCTCCAACTAAAAATATTAGGGATTTCTGACTGTGGCAACAGCATGGCTCCACAAGGAAGGATGGCTGCAACACACAGAGTACCCTCTCTGCAGCCAGCCACACCTGGGCAAAGGCACACAAAGTTGAGGTGGGGATTCTGAACTCCCAAGCCCACAAAACTCTTCCTGGTGTATTCTTTTACCAATTATACAAATTATTATATTGCCTTCATAATCTGCTCTATCGTTTGTAGCTGTTACACTGTTGAGATGCAAACAAACTGAAGTAACTATTTTTGAAGTTATTTTCATTATCCAAAATAATACCTATAGCTTAAGCTTAATATTTTATGTTCATATACAGAATAGAGATTGCTGTTTAGTCGATCTTTGTGCCTGAACTAACACGCTGGGATAATTCATACATATTGCATATATATGGAGAATGTATCTGTTTTAACTAGCAGCTCAGATAATGAAGCTCAGCTCATTTGTAAATGATCGGCTGGCTGACAAAAATACAAAAAGAAACAATTCCTTGGCAAGAGCAATTTCCTAAAGAGGAAGATTGCTGGATACTCAGCTCCTGACAGATGCTCCAAAAGCAGTGAATATACTGAGCATTTATTCTCATTTGTAATTGTACAGAAGACGGTGACCTTTCTGTTGACAAGCATGTCCCACAGCTGTTTCACAATGATCTCGTATTACATTAATGAGTTAATGTGTGTGGACTCTATCTCAGAGCAGAGGAACCAAGTATACAGGGAGGATAGCTCAAGAAAGCATTTAAACTAGCATGCCGTTGTTTGTAGAAATAAGATCAAGCACTTGAATTTTGACCACTTTATAGAGATTTGTTCTTTCTTGTAGCTCAGACAAGTTTTAGCACTTGGGTAACAGCCTTTAGTGCATAATAGCTGAGGACTGCCAGATTTTAACAAAGACCTCTTTTCGGCAGTAGATACACAGCCTTTCTCTCTCTCCGCATCAGGGCAAGAAGCTCAAATTTAGTGATTGCTGAGAAGCTTGTACAAGATTGCAGTCCTTTCTAAAAACATTCCTCTGTGGAATTAGAAGCGATCAAGCAGTTTGAGAAAGGGCAGTGTAAGTCTAGGCTGAATACAAATCAAATATATAAACCAAGCTGCACATCACTTACACTTACTGCTGATAAGTACTGACAGCAGTACGTATGGCCTTTTCCATTTCCTTGGTCATCTTCAAAATAATTACAGTTCTGCACTAGTATGACAATGCTCTAGCAGGTCTCAGTAGGCTGAAGGGTTATATATTAGGGCCATTACCAATAAGAAGGATTTAAGAGAGTGTCTGTTTGACTGTCGCAAATTTGTTTTCAATACTAAATTCCAATAAATTAATACTAAATTCCAGTCCAAATTTAATTTCCAAAGTAATTCTATGCTTTCAAAATGATTAAGCTATTATTCCTTCCATCTCTAAACTGTGAAAACAAGAGAAAGAATTCATCACTTTTAACCCCAGTTAAGATTTTAAATTATCTCTTTTAGATGATTTAAGAAAGCCACGTAGTTTATCTCCTATCTGTTTAAAATACTACTACATATATAAATATATGCTATGTATATAAATATATATAAATAATACTATATAGCTACTAAGCTACACTTGGATTGCCTTTATGCAAGAAAACCTTCTGATAAAAATTTTTACAAGCGTGAGAATAATTATGTTCTTTGACTATATTTCTTCACATCTCAAACATTATGAATACAAGGATGATTTCTACTTGCATTCTACAATTTTGAAAGTGTACTAATTGCAAGACATTCTGAAATAAATGCAAATTGCCTGGATGGTCACCATCCAATTTCTAATGGACTGACACTCATATAAAAATCCAACAGCATCAGCAACAAGCTGGCAGTTACTGGTAGAATGAGAGGTGTTGAGAAATGATTTGGCTCACAGCTGAACTTCCTATTTAACCACGGGGAAGATCAAATTAAGTCAAGGTCAAGTATGGGACAGAGCAGCTGTGCCACATAGCAGATAAGGACTCCTAGTATATATATAATAGATCTGTTTTGATTTTCTAATCGTGAAATCTAGAGCTGCTGCAGGAAGAAAAGGGGCCTCCTTGACTCTTAGCCTCACTTTTGCCTCTCCACGTTCAGTTCCATCCCAGGCTGTGCAAAGCCCTCGTGGTGCAGCAGCAGCCCCCTTGCATGTGCAAACTCAAATCAGCAGCCTGTCTCACAAGAAATACTTCACAGCCTTCCAGTATGGCAGAATAACCAAATAATCTTTCCCCTGTTGAATAAGAAAGAAGTTAATATCTCCCTAACAGAAAAAAAAGAAAAAAAAGGACTGGAGTAGGTAGTACGAATCTTGTCTACAGAAAATTTGACTCTCCGATGAAACCCATCTGGAACTCTTACTAATCACTACAAACACATGCTTTCAAAACTGAATGGTTTTGGACTCCGTAGCGCTTTGGCTTCATAATCTATAATTTTCCTATTTCACTAAATGAAAATAAATCAATTTATTGCAGTTAATGCACAGGTACCAAAAAAAAAAAAAAAGGTGGCTATAATTTTTTGCTATCCATCTGTCCTTCTCTTACTCCATCTGTTTACTTCAATCATTGCCGTGGAATCCTGCTTCATGAAATGGAGCCTAACACATGCATGCAGGGCAGTATAAGTTACCTAGTTACTCAGCTGAAGGATGTTTTCAGGATAAATCATTGTCCTTGTACTCTGTAGAAGGCAACAGGCATCGATTTTGTTGTTAATATGTCTGAGCAATCCCTCTTTCAACAAAATATATAACTGTCAGTACATTTCCTGTAATTTCAGATTTTGCAATTCAGAATAATACCATAAAGACTCATCACTTTAATCAGTTATTGATTACACCGTGGGGACATTCTACAGATTCCACTCAATGCTACTTTTAAAATGGTAAGTACCTATATAACCATATGATGTTATAAGCTGTTTCAGATTTTTATAGCTAGTACAACAGTACGAATGCACAATACTAAATTATTTGATTAGGTAGTATAGCTTTTATTAAACTTTGTCAAACTTATTCTTCAATTAAGTTTAACCATTCTTTGGCCTGATGGTAATTAAAGATTTTTGTCTCTTTAAACTAAATATAAATGTTTAAAAGTAAAAGAAAACAAAAGAAAGTCCCCCTATTGCAATCCAAGATGGAAGATATAAAATAAAGGCTAATTTCAGGGGGAATTTTGCACAGAGTATTTCACCAACACAAAAGTCACTGGTAAAACCATCTTTTCTACTGAATACTATAAACACGAGACACTTCCATTCTTATTATATCATTACGGCAGCATGATGACATTGTTCAAACATCAGGTCAAGAAAGGCTTTTTTAATAAATAATCTCACACTTCAAACAAAAGGCTCTCTATTAATCATGCCTTTCTTTTCTGGGGTATCTCAGTGTCCTAAATACTTTGTTTAGCGTATTTCTATTTTGATTATCATTGCCATCATCATCAAAGGGTGCAGTCATGGTTTATTTTCAACTACAAAAGACGTTTGACTAGCACCAAATTTATGCAGAATGCAAAAACATTACCACAGAATACATTTCACAGGAACATGCATGTAGGCACAACTTTGTGCCCAGGGTGATACTAACTCAACTTGTCATTTTTTTTAGAATCCCATATGTGATTTCACCAAAACATCTGTAGTATAACTGCCTATAAGAATATTATTGAGTCAAAAGTATGAAACTACCTAAATCTGCTGAGACATAGAAGGAGCCTTTTTAAATATAAGGTAATTTAAAAATATGAAGTGAGAACTTAAGTTAGAAGTTAAATGTTTTTCCAAGATGACAAATGGCAAGAAGTGCTGGTAGTGGCATTTTGGAAAATAAAATTTTCATGTTAGAGATCCATTAAAGTGATGCAAGTGACTAGAAATGAGGATCCCAATTCTTATTATCTTCATGTATACATTTAAATAATTATAGTCCATTTCTCCATTCTGTAGAGTGAGTTTAAAGTATTTACAAATGAAAGCAAAAAAATAAAGGTCTGGTATTAACCATACAGAAAGGAAAAAAAATGTCTATTAACCATACAGAAAAAAGAGTAAAAGAAAAAAAAGTCTATGTACTTCCTGCGGTCTTTTAAAAAGCATTAATAATAAACTATTTGCATAAAACTAAAGAGAGAAAACTCTTATATCTGAGAAAACATGCATCTTTTTGATACCTGCAAGCTAGTTTTTTTATCTGCTGTATAAATAGAAATTATTTATGGAGAGCCTAAAATACAACAATGCCCTAGAAAATGAGAGACTGTCTTTTTAAAATATATTCAAAATATTGTGAGTAAATCTGCAACATGCAGATATACAACCACTAGATGCATTTGAACAGCAATTGTTTTTGCTTCTAGTCTTCTATAAAAAAGTGATGGTTAAAATTCCTCTAGCTTCATTGAAAGCAGGATCAGGACCTGACACTTTCACCAGTTATATTTTCTGGCCCATAGAGCATCACTATTAACTGTGAATGTCAAAACCTGTACAGCTCTAGTGAAAAATGTATTCAGTCTTCTAAATGAATGCCTGAGCACTGACTTTTAAGTGACGACAGAGATCAGTAAGTCAGCTTTCATTCACGCTGCTTTCTTACTAAAATACCAATGACTTGGAGAGTGCTTAGAAACATAACCTGTTCCTTCCTAGGAATTTAGTCTAAGCTTTCTTTTAAAATAACTTTACTTCTTTAGTTTAAATGTAGCTTCAGAAACAAGTATGTTCCAAAGCTAAATTCCAAAGCCTGAAGCTGACACAATACAGTGATCTGGAGTGAGGTTGAAATTTCAAGTTAATGCACTGAGTCAGTCTTGTCAAGGTAGATGTTATAGCTTCTCAGTTACAAAAAGTACCTTTGCTTCTGTTATCTGACTGACAGACTTTGGAAAGCACTGTTTTCCCAGCCTCACTGCAGAAGTGCATATCAAGTTGTTTCTTAGAGCAAATAGCAACCTGATTATATACTGGAGAAAGGAGGCTGCCAAAGAAGAAATAGAAAGTAGTTCAACCACTCAGAGCTGGTGAGCACTATTACTGAGACAGAAATGGAACCAAGTGTAGAAACGTTATCTTGCTGGGGAAGAAGGGGAGGAGGCAGCTGGATGGAGCCACTGAGTTCATAGGACTTTAAAAGTTGTGCCCTATAATTCAGAGAACTAAATGCAGCCGTGGGTTTATCTTCATTATTTTCAGACATCTGGTCTAAGAGAAGGGAGATTAAGAAGCCAGAAATTACTATTCTTCACAGGCAGAGTCACCCAGGAATGCAATCTGTGTGACTGCAGCTACTTGCATACGTTGATCCACCAGGATCCAGCACTGAGCTACGATTCGCAGTTTTAGCACCACTACAACAACCCAGAGGTCAATAAATCTGTCCCATTAGAACAGTGTACTTTCTGACAATCTGCTACACTGCTTTACAAAATCATCATGGGAGGAAATATCTAGGTTTGACTTAACCGACCATCTGTCTACACAAAAAGTCAAAATGTGTAAATTTACATGCAATGTTTTGCTGCCCAATTGCAGCCATTAAGCATTATTCCTTTCCCTTACCCCTTACTTTAAAAAAGAGACTATTTTCTATCACTTCAGTAGTGGCATATGCATTTTCTGTAAAGAAAATAAGCCAAAGCAATTGGGCATGCATCAGCATGCAAGAAAGCATGCTCTGGGGTGGAATACACAACTCAGTGCACAGGCTTGCTATTTGCTGCTACCCTGAAATGCAGAATATCTGCACGATTATAGGGCATACTCAGTGCCAGCAGGAGGAAGCACATGTAGTTTAGTCTGCTTCTACACTCTGCTTTCACAGATTGTTTTGAACCAGATGGACATTAGTCTAAGTAGCATGTACACAAGTATTACACATTCTTAGTCCTAACTTCCTGCTTCAGTACAGTGTTTTCATCTATCCTGAAGTAAGAATGAAATGAATCATGCACGTCTAAGTGGATGCACTGGGCATGCTAAATAAGGAATAGGTATAATCATTTATAGCAAAAGCAATTAGATCAGAAGTAATGTGCATAAACAAAGCACCAATTGTTTAATTTCCAGCTACTTGAGACTATGAGACCATTACTTGAAAATTCAATAATGTTTGGTTTATAGAGAACCAAACTGCAAGATTTTAGCTTTCCATGGTTAACTGATCACATTTTCTTTCACTCTTGTTTTTAGATTTTATTGTTAATGAAGAAAATCTGAAAGCTGAAAATGCAGTGTGAAATAAATTGAACTTATTAATGAAAAACAGGGCCTGTTGCACTTTTTGGTCATTTTTTCTTATTTAGTTAACTGAAAACTTACAGTTCTGAATTTTAATTCACTGACAAATAACATTATTAAAATAAAATTATGATAGCCTGCGGTGTGTCACATCCTTCCAGACGACTGAGTTTAAAACCCTACAGACTTTGGAGGAAGAGGCTGGCAAGAAATAAATGCACAAAACGACTTTGGTCTCAAAGCAAAATTCCCTGTAAAAATTCAACTTGAATATGAATCTTAGAGGTGAGAAAGGAATGGGGATTATGTAAAGCCAATTGTGGGAACAATGACTGGTGGAGCCTGGAACAGCAGAAAAAGAGAACACTTAAGGCAGGAAATAGAAAGCAGCTATCAACAGTAATTTAAAGAAAAAAATAAAAATGCAGTGTTCATATAGCACTTTCAAAGAGATGAAAGTAAACTGGAAGGATGAAATAGGGATTATCAATCAGTGTAGGTTTATGCCTCTTTCCACCTCTCTCAATATAAGCATCAAGTTAAGCATTGTCAGTAGAATACTTTTATCCTTCTCAAAGTTATGAGCAACAGTCCTGATGCCATGAACATGACATAAGTTGCTCGGCTATGCTTGGTTCTCCCCGCTGCTGAATAAAATATTGTAACCAGTGTAGTGGAAGATTTCACATTTTGATGATGCAACTTGAGATGTACAACAGTTCCCTTTTAAATTTGGTTCAGTGCGATTCCTGCAACCTCAAAAATGGGTGATGGCAAGAATAAACTCACTGACAGTTGCGGCAGTAGAGTATTCATGATAGCAATGGTTAATGATGCATGTATATGCTGGATTTAGGCCTCTGTAGAGAATCCCAGGCTTGGCATGAAGTATTTCTTCAGTTTGATAGGCAGCAACACTAAACTGCACTGATGCTTGGCTTTCTGTAACGATGACATCTACATTGCGAAGCAGGGAGGTGAAATTTCCCTTTACTCAAACATCACATCTCATGTAAAGAAACAGCATTTGCTTGTTTTATTTATTCAAGTGTAGAGGACACTGATTTACATGCAGAAGAAGCAGTGAATGCAGTTCTATTTTATGCTCCAACAGAACACCATATGAAATGGGTGAAAAGGAACTGTATGTAGGCCCCAGTCCCCAGTCCACCAGTTAAGTCCACCATAACTCCGTGATGTGATGTGTTACTGAAGACACCCCAAAACATACCATTATAGTGGTCAACCTATTGCTCGCTTTATTTTGCCAAAGCATTTATAGAGAAGCTCATCCTCCTCCTTGTTGCAGACTGTCTGAAGGGAAAAGAGTAAATAAACATAGGCCAAAACAACGTTTCTCCTCACTCAGCAGAAAGTGCTGAGAAAACACTGTGCTGTTCTTCTGACCCAAGTTCTTTGCAGGACAGAAAACAAACATTCAGATGATGTGCACAGGTTAGCATCTATCTCATCCTTGTAGCAGTCAGCTCTTCAGAGACAACTCAGCCATTTTAAGGGAGGAAAAATACAAAAACCACATACAAAACCCACACAACCGCTTTCACAATGTAAAACAAAAAATGTGACTGAAAAACTATGGGGGAGGTGTGTTGAACAAAACACACTCTTTTCAATCAGTGACATTAATGAACTTCACTCTGAAAAGTATTTGATGCACCACAACAACTTTTTGAAAAGGAAATAGATCAAAAGACTTAATTCAAGACAGTAAGGAAGATTTCTAAAAATTTCTAGGAGTACCCAAATGCTCATGTTGAACCAAGAATCACACAGTCAGGAGCTTTTCTAGCCAGGCCATCAAAGCCAGCTACTGTCTATTTCTTGCATTTAACATTTACCTGTTCACTCTGTCCCTTCCTACTGGTTTGGGCTGAGTCTCTTTTCTATGCTGTCACTTGCATGCTGCTGTTTTGGATCAGTGTCCTTCGTGTTGTAGCTATTGCTATTGCAGTGCTTACACAGTATCAAGGCCTTCTCTCTTGCATGCTATCTCTCCCAGCAACTAGGCTTTGGGTGCACAAAGAACTGGGAGGGGACACAGCCAGGACACTGACCCAAAATGGCCAAGGGGATATCCCATACCTTATGACATCAGGATCAGCAATGAAAATCTCAGGGAAAGGATGAAAGGTAAAACCTTCGGAGTTGCAGTGCTTGCCTTCCCAAACAAACAGAAAACATTATGGTAGGCTTTCCTAGAAATGGCTAAATGTCTGTCTTCTGGGGTTAACCCACAGCCAATACTTAAAATACCCTGTTATTTTGATTAGTAGTAAAAATAGCAATTTATATCTCTATTTTCCTCTTTCACCTTTTTTTTTTCTTTTTTTTCCCCAGTTATTACTAGAAATCTGAATGCATTAACTAAGAGCTACTAGCTACTATGGAAAGAATACAAATGTCAGGCTTACAAGATCACAAAATGTCTGTAACTCTCAGCATAGAGAAAAAGTA